TACTACATATGGCGGATTTAATGCCTTAAGACATTCTCTCCCAGTCAACCATTAGGCTAAGCAGAGCTAAAAATAATAATAATAAGGTATAATATATTATCAAAAGATATTAAATAATAGATGAATTAAAAATAATACAAAATAGATAACGGCACGACTACGGTTCTTACTGAGCCACGATTTGAAGGCGGACGCTCATAGATCTCAGCGAGATACGCCGAAAAGTAAGAATAATTTTTTTAATAAGGCAAATCTGCGGAGGTTGGCGAAAGAGCTGCACTTCCCGCAGCGCTGAAGCCGTTGCAGAAGTAACTTTGGGTCAATATTCCTGTGTAAAAAAAGTTATTTTTGAGTATCGATATTTCGGAAACTAAGTGAGATGTTTAAGTTTTTTAAGAGTTACTTTTCGGCGTATCTTGTCGAGATCTATGCGAATCCGGCTTCAAATAGTGGCGCCGTAGGGACCGCAAAGCCCCTAGATAACAGATAAAATAACATGAAAGAAACATCTGTTGTCAAGAAGTATCACCGTTTGGCTTCGAGTCCTTAATAAATACTTCTTTCATCGCAGCAAATTGGTAGTGTATTGTTATTTTTTTATTTTAGAAAACATATTATAATATATTCAGGCCTTTATCGGGCTAACCACTTTCCAACCTGAGGGTTGGATAGTAACTCGAATTGTTTTTCTAATACTTAACTCAAATCTATCCATAGACCATCCTATGCTTAAAGCAACTGCTGAATTTGGCGCTAATCGTGAAATGAACTTGGCTTCCTTTTCACATTAATTTTTTTTATAGGATAGGGTGACAAACGAGCACACAGTCCACCTGATGGTAAGTGGTTACTGTGACCCATAGACATCTACGTCTATCATCAATAAAGACTCAAGATTCAGATGCGTTGTCACCCGTGAGGACTAAGCCTCTTTGCCAGTAAAAAGGGTCTCCGGTTCTCTACACTCACCATACGAAACACAGCAACGTTAAACTGCTATTTTACGCTGGTTTTCTGTGAGAGCGTGGTCCTTCCCCGGTCGAGCCGACCCATTCGTGCTACAACTATACTACTAATATAGCTGCAGCATGGCTCTACCACGTTAGATATAGAATATTTTTGGTATTGAAGTAATATGTACTACGTACTAGAAGAGACGCCGTAACTTGGTTTTTGCAACACACGTTATGTGGACGGGCTTAAAATTACTTACGTCCTTGCAATAAAAATATACTCTGTTCCTCCTTCCACGCGCCCCGCACTGCCACACTGATTTTGTTCGCGGTGTCTGTTCTAGCTTCAACGTTTTTTGGTAGCATTATTATATCCACTAAGAGTCAGATTCTAATCGTCTAAAAAGATTTACATGTGTGTTGACGTTCGAAGTTCATCGCGCATATCTCGAAACAAAACAGCAGTGAATACCGTTTATTATTCAATATACTATCTCTTATGAGTCATAAGATGCATACATCTTTTTTTTTGCATCAATTACCTTTCAAGTACAAAAGTGCATTCACTTCAGTACCGGTTCCTGTCGTAGTGAAAATATTTATTACTTTTTAAAGTCATTGCACGTTTCATTATAAATCTTACTAATATTATAAATGGTCCGAGAGCTCATGACGCATTTTTCATGAAGTGTTTGATGCATCATGAAACTTTGTTGAAAAGTATCTGTCCACTCAATAAGTTATACGACTGTTTGCCTGGCGTACCTGGGTACACCTGGTACTGCGCATACAGGTAAGTCGCAAAAAAAATTTCCCAAAAAAGTGTTTGATTCAAATAATAATAATGACTATCCGTCAGCTAAGTTTATAAAGAGTTAAGAAAAAAAATGGCAGACACTTCTGAAGGGATTTACATAGCGGCAGACTACCACAAAGTTGTATTTTCAAAAATTTCAAATTAAGTGTTTGATTCAAACGGCCATTTTTACAGCGTGTTTATTAGGTATAATAAAAAATTCACACCAAAAGGCAGTCAGTTTCTCCGGGGGTTAATAGTTAAAAAGTATTTAAATAAATCTTGCGTGGAAAGCAGACAAATGTGTTACGGGTTGTAATGAGTGCGACGATATGTCCTTAGTCATCCTTCGATCTCTCATTGCGAATCACGTGATCTTGTACAGTTGTTACAACTGAAATGTCTGCCATTTTTTTTCTTAATTCTTTATCAACTTAGCTTACGGATAGTCATTATTATTATTTGAATCAAACACTTTTTTTTTTGAATTTTTTACATACAATGTTGGGGTAGTTTGCCCCCTATGTCAACCCCTTCAAAAGTGTCTGCCAATTTTTACTTAATTCTTTATCAACTTAGCTGATGGATAGTGATTATTACTATTTGAATCAAACACTTTTTTCACATATCGGCGACCGTAGCTCTCTGTCGCACTCATTACAACCCGTAGCACATTTGTCTCCTGTCCACGCAAGACTTATTTTAATACTAGCTGTTCCCGGCGACTTCGCCCGTGTGTAATTTAGGGTTTTATTTCTTAGGCATTCTCTACCAGTCAACCACAAGCTAAGCAGATAAATTTAAGCAGGTCCCATAAAACATGAAAATACGTATACATAATTATAAATATAAAAACATGCATATAAAAACACTTCTTATGAATAATGGATTATAGATTACTACAAAAGACCTACATAATATAATCAATACCTGATAAATAACATACGAATTTTGAAACATTTTACGTGGTAGACCACATTTTATGCATTTTAAGTGGTAGAGCCATACTGAGCTATATTATAGTTGTAGCACGAATGGGTCCGCTCGATCGGGTAAGGACCACGCTGTCACAGAATATCAGCATAAAATAGCAACTCAATTCTGCTATGTTTCGTATGGTGAGTGTAGAAAACCGGAAAACCTTTCACTGGAAACGAGGCATTTCATCTTAGTCATCAGGGATGGCAACGCATCTCCATTTTGATACTAAATCGGGGATAGATGTAAATGTTTATGGGCTACAGCATCCACTTACCATCAGGTGGAATGTGTTCTCGTAATTCACCCTTATTCTTTAAAAAAAATACTTTGAAGCGAATATAATATATATTAAATAGAAAGCAAAATTACAAAGCAGACATTTTTAAGAATGTTAGCCAATGGAAGAAGAAAGATGATTCGACACCATAACATGAAATCAATAAAATATTTTGTATTATTTACTAATGCTATCAACAAATTAACATCAGATTCCACATATTACAACTAATAAACATTATCGGCCTTTCTTATAATCGTTGATTATCGCTAGCTTAACTTAACTATTAATAATGTCTAGAAATATCTTTTTCTATTGAAATTTATTGAAGAGAGAGAGAGAGAGGGAGCAATTTATGCATTACTTAAATTAACGTCTTTTTTAATGTGATAAAGCCGGTATAAATCTTATCAAAGATACTAGACCACATTATTCATAACTTGGTATTATTATTATCCAAATAAATCACTTCATATTCAAGGCTATATCAGTAACTGTACTACGCATAACCATAATTACGTTAACCATGTAATTTAAGTAAACTTTTTCACTTTTTAAATGTTTGTTAATTCAGCAACCGTCCGTCGTGATGTCTCTCTCGAAGTTCGCATGTCGCAAGTCGCAGACCCGTGATATACGCGGGGCACAGCTAGTCCTCTATAAAACTGTAGTACATCACTTTACTCTATTGTCAATATTTTCTGCAGCGTACGCAATATAAGGATTTTTCGGCGTTACTGTTGCATACTTTAACAACATGTCAAAGTAGTTATTGTGATATAACTGTAATAGTTAGACATAATATGGTATTGGGGACGTTTTTGTAGATATTGATATCCTGTATAAAACTGTGGTTCATCATTTTTCTCTATTATCAGTAGTTTCTGCTGCGTACGCGATATAAAGATTCTTTATAGTATTTTTTTCACACCTTGGGTTACATTAACAAAGTTTTCATACGGATCCCTCACTTTTTGAAAATATTCTACCGCCTATGTTCATCAGGGATAATGTAGGATTCTAATGGTGAAAGAATTTTTAAATCGATCTACTAGTTTCGAAACCTATTCAATTCAAACAAACAAACAAACAAATCTTTCCTCTTTATAATATAAGTGTAGATTAGAATTTCATTACGTTGTAATAGTGGTGTATGGTGTCCACTATTAACAGACTCCGAGTCGTCCAGGAGCGGAGAAATAAAACTATCTTTCTGATATGCCTTACTATGTGCAGGCAAATGGAGTATGTTAATAGTGGACACCATACACCACTATTACAGTGGTGACCACCCGACCTGATCTGAACACGCAACCGACAACCTTCGGAATCTACAACTTCAAAACCTTCGTAATCGTCCTCAAGCACCCCATTCATTCGCTCCCGAGCAGATATTGTCTGCAGTCTTCACATTCTGCAAGCCATCTAGCTTTATAAAGGTTCATCGCAACACTGGAATAATAATGCTTCCTGTTCCTTGAAGCTACTATCTGCGCTACAGTGTTCGGCACGGCTCTGAGCCTTACTGCCCGCCTCTGGTTCACGGCACTCTCGCAGATTACTTGACTTCTTCTCGACTCACCGCAGACTACAAGGCAATCCCTGGCACTAACTAATTCGTCGACATCTAGACTGCACTATCGACCTCCGGTCTGAGCAGGGGGGTGATGTGGTGACGCCGCCATCGCGCTACAAGCGAAACGCATCGAAGCCTAAATCGCGCTAACAAAGTTCCGAAATTAAAGCAATATATATAGAATAACTCCGAATTACCACTCGGAGCGTTGGCCACTCCCCGGGCAGAACACCTTGCCCGGCGGGAGATCTCCCCTTTTCCTCCTACAACGTTAATCCGTTTACCAAAATGGTGGTTACAGCTAGGAGAACTACTAATTGGCTTCATAGGATGCCTATGTAATGTGGCAGCGGTCCACGTCCAAATATACTGGTTCGTGGAGGATGATCAACAATTAAAACACTATTCATATTTCAGACTAGCACGTCATATTCAATCGGATTCGAATGCGAGCTATCTTCGGAATCCAGGATCTGAGCCACTTACTATCGCAACGCTTGGTGATGTACTGGCTGAGAGTGCCCAAAAGTACCCGGACAGAGTAGCTGTGCGATCTGTACACGAAGATATCACTCTTACATACGAAGAATTATTAACACAAGTACGTAATGATTTTACGACACTACTGTAAGACTTTAAAATACTGTAAAGTCAAACGAACTAAAATTCATATTTAAATCTAAAATTAGAGCCCGGGCCAACTATGATTTCAAGAAGACCTCAGTCCTTCCGTGACCATGAGTGCTGTAAAGCACTCAAAGCGTCCATAGGTAGAGAAATAAGTTACAATTAAAGGCAACAACAGTGTAGTGGCGGTGTAAGAATATCCATTATCCCATATCGTCCGGTGGGTTTCGTAAGAGGCGACAGAGGGAAACAAACTAGGAAATGAGCAGCAGCGTCTTCCTAATAACAAATAGAAATAAAAAAACCTGCAGTTGCCAACCTGCCTGCTTTTTAAACGTGGTAGCTGCAGCTAAATAAATAGAATAGTTGTAGCACGAATGGGTCGGCTCGACCGGGGAAGGACCACGCTCTCACCGAATACCAGCGTAAAATAGCAGCATAATGCTACCTTGTTTCGTATGGTGAGTGTAGAGAACCGGAGACCCTTTTTACTGGAAAAGAGGCATTCTATCTTAGTCCTCACGGCTGACAACGCACCTGCATTTTAATTTGCAAACGAAGATAGATGTAGACGTCTATGTGTCACAGCAACCACTTACCGTCAGGTGGACGACTGTATGCTCGTTTGTCACCCTTATTCTATAAAAAAAAGCGTGGCAACTATGCCAAATATCTCCTCTATGAGGCACTCTTTGGGGGAATCCTACTTTCAGCAGTAGATTTTCGATAGGCTGTAACAGTAATGGTGACCACAAATTTGCAGGCAGATTCCTTAGGATGCGCTTTAAGAGCAAATGGCTTCGAGAAAGGTGATAGACTGGGAATATGGTCTCACAACAGCGCCGCTTGGATTATTGCAATGGTGGCGGCATCCAGAGTAGGCGTTATATCTGTAAGTTAATACCTCAAATAAATTTCTTATCAAAAAATTGAACAACCAACTGTCACGGTGCAGCTATATTATAGTTGTAGCACGAATAGGTCGGCTCGACTGAGATGGAATCAAGCTGTTATAGAATACTAGCCTGAAAAAGTAGCTTAATGCTGCTGTGTTTCGTATGGTGAATGTAGAGAACCGAAGACCCTTTTTGCTGAAAAGGATGCAATCTATCTTAGTTGTTAGGGTGACAACGCATCTACATTTTGATTCTTAACTGAAGATAGATGTATATGTCTATGGGACACAGCCATCAGGTGGAGTATGTGCTCGCTTTTCACTCTTATACTATAAAAATAAGTCCATCCATAGCCGCTGAAAATAATTAATTATCTAACGAATTTTAACAAGTTTCAAAAATAGCAATATTTCTATGTAATGCTGATTGACGTCTTAGTTGCTTATAGTCAAATTCTAGTCTCGATTTTATAAAACTAAAGTGACAATGGAACTTACAATCTACCTTATGGTAAGCTCCAGGTAATCACAGCAAATTTCATACAAAGAATAATTAATAGAATGAGGCATTCATCATCATCATCATCGTTACAGCCCTTCACAAGTCCACTGCTGAACATAGGCCTCCCCCAAGGAATGCCATAAAGCACGGTCATGAGCCACCTGCATCCATCGACTTCCTGCATATCTTACCAGGTCGTCATTCCATCTAGTGGGGGGACGCCCTACACTTCGCCTGCTGGTACGAGGCTGCCACTCAAGAACCTTAATTCCGCATCGGTTGTAGATTCTTCGAGCTATATGGCCGACCCATTGCCACTTCAGCTTACTAATCCGTTGGGCTATGTCGGTCACTCTGGTTCTACTGCGGATATCCTCATTTCTAACTTTATCACGCAGAGATTTTTTTTTTATAGGAGAGGGGGCAAACGAGCATGCGGCTCACCTAATGGTAAGTGACTACCGTCGCCCATGAACAACCGCAACACCAGGGGAATTGCAGATGCGTTGCCGGCCTTTTAAAAAGGAATAGGCTCTTTTCTTGAAGAGAATAACCCTCTCTACAGCTCGCTGAGCGACCTTGAGCTTCCTCATCCGGCCAGCAGTGAAGGACCACGTCCCAGTTCCATAGGTCATCACTGGCAACACGCCCTGGTTGTACAGTCTCGTTTTCAAGTTTTGAGGTATACCCGACGAGAAAATGTGCCGTAATTTCCTGAACGCTGCCCAACCGAGTTGAATCTATCGATTGACCTCTCGGTCGAAATTGGAATTAAGTAGGCATTACTTTGCGGAATTTTACCTGGTAGAGCCATGCTGCAGCTATATATGGTTGTAGCACGAATGGGTCGACTCGACCGGGGAAGGACCACGCTCTCACAGAATGCCAGCGTAAAATAGCAGATTAACGCTGCTGTGTTTCGTATGGTGAGTGTAGAGAACCGGAGACCCTTTTTATTGGAAACGAGACATTCCATCTTAGTCCTCACGGGTGACAACGCATCTGCATTTTGATTCGTAATAGAAGATAGATGTAAATGTCTATGGGCCACTGCAACCACTTACCATCAGGTGGACTGTGCGTTTGTCACCGTTATCCTATAAAAAAATCCATTGAAGGCATCCTAAGATGAAATAGACTCTGCGGTGACTTAGCAGTCAGCCACCGCAGTCTACTTCGCCTGAGGATGCGTCGTGTAGAGGCGAAACCGGTGTCGTATTATCGACGGTGGTGTGTCTTTCCTGGTGTAGCGGTGTTGGGAGTAGTGGTGACGGAGATAGAGCACGCAATTATGGGAGGATGGGAGGTGCTCTTTAAACTTGTTAAGACACATCATTTTATTTCAATACGCGGATAGAAGCATATTAATTTTCAAGAACTTTCATACAAAGGACTCCAAATGCGTTATCACCTCTGTGGACTAAAATGGAATGCCTCACAATCTGTATTCATATATATTCTTCAGAATGGAATACAGCAGTGCAAGCACTACTATTTGGCGGCAGAAATAGTTAACAGGGTGATAGGATAGGTACCACCGTGGTACCTATCCAGCTGGACACCTAGGTAGAAAAGGAGTCGTACCTTCAACTAAATTTTAAGTAATAAGGTAATTAGTCATTCGTATACTTTAAGTTAAAGTTACAGCCCATATACGTCCCACTGCTGGGCACAGGCCTCCTCTCATTTCTGAGAGGGTTTTTGGGCAAGGAAGTGTCCACCGCGCTGCCCCAATGCGTGTTGGCAATTTTCACATGTCTTCGAAATAATTTTTTTTCTTATTACTTGCAGGTTTCCTCACGATGTTTTCCTTCACCGCCGAGCACGTGGTAAATCAGCACTTAAAATTGCAATTAACAATTTTATTGGTGCCGGCAGGGATCGAACCCGTTGGCGTATTACGTATCTTGCAGAAGGCTCGCGATATCGAAATTAGAACAATAATTACTGATAAATCGCAGATTCCTATTATGTATTAGCCATAACCAAGCTAACTAGCAACAGCGCTGCCTTGTGGTTGCTAGTTAGCTAGGGCTTGGTTATCGCTGGTACGTAATACGATGCGATTTATCAGCTATTATTGTTCTAATTGCGCTATCGCTAACCTTCTGCAAGATACGTAATACGCCTACCGGGTTGCCAGCGTACTGTCAAATTTACCGCGAGCGCCAACTATCTGAGCTACAACGGCTCTCATATTTTTTAAGTAATAAAAATTGAATCGAATTTTAAATTCAATAATATGTCGCAGTTTATAAATTGTAGTGTCAACTCTACACAATTTTCGTCAATCAAATAGATCCAATTTTAATTGGTATTGCTAGAAATACAAATTGGCCCTGAAATTATAATTATCAAATATAATGAATTTCAAATTTGATAGTCTAATCGATTATTATATTTTTTTTAATACTAGTAATGCTATTAAACATTACTAATATTCCCTTTAACCACTTCTGGTAAGGTTAAAATGCTTGTGTTAGAAGTGGTTCACGACAGTAGTCGAATGGCGGATTCGAACCCACGACCTTTCGAGTTCGCGGTTCGCACCTGACATTAGACTACTGGCGCTTCTCATTATTATAAATGTTGTTTTATCTAAAAGTTGATAAGGCCTAATTGTTTATTTTACCAGTCACATGCAAGTTTATTAAACTGATTATTCTATCATCATTATCAGTGTAACCGTACAATATATAAACATTTAATTTGTAATCGTTAAGCACATTTATATATTTATACTATGCTTTTTTATTTCTCTATCTCTCGCTTTCTCTCACTCTCTCTCTCTCTCTCTCTCTCTCTCTCGACTCTCTCTATCTCTCTCTCGCTCTTTCTCTTTCTCTCTCTCTACTCTCTCTCTCTCTCTCTCTCACTCTCACTCAGTCTCCCTCTGTTGACCGAATGAGGGAGAGCCATGCTGCAACTATATTAGAGGTATAGTTGTAGCACGAATGGGTCGGCACGACCGGAGAAGGACCACGCTCTCACAGAATACCAGCGTCAAATAGCAGCTTAACACTGCTGTGTTTCGTATGGTGAGTGTAGAGAACTGGAGACCCTTTTTACTGGAAACAAGGCATTCTATCTTAGTCCTCACGGGTGGCAACGCATCTGCATTTTGATTCGCAAACGAGGATAAGTGTAGATGTCTATGGGCCAACCACTTACCATCAGGTGGACTGTGTGCTCGTTTGTCACCCTCTACTATAAAAAACAACTTAGCTGGGCTGAAATTAATACGTTTACACACTTACCATTACAGCCTTGTGTATTAACATTACATTTACATTTATCCTCGGTTAAAAATCAAAATGCAAATGCGATGTCACCTTTGAGAACTAAGTCATAGTTTCTATTAAAAAGGGTATTTGATTTTCTACTGTCACCATACATTAGCATTAAGCTGCTATTTCACGCTAGTAATCTGTGCGAGCATGGTTCATGGTTTATTATTTCATATGAACATCTTTGTACCATATTTCTTATGAATAAATTTATTATTATTATCATTATTATCATGTCGTTCGAGTCGACCCATTCGTGCTATAACCATAAAGCAAGCAAGAACACATAATTCATTTTGATTAAAAATATAACATCGCAAACGCTTCAATCCAAGTTTTGTAGAGTTTGCCGACGCTTCTACATATCTTCCGTCCTGATCCAGTAAAATAGATTTGATTGAAAATACGTTATGTAGTCTATGATACCCTAGTTAAACATTCTTAACGTAATAAAACTTAATCCTAACCGTATTTAGTATGTCTCTTAGGCGGCAAAATTAAATAAAAAATAGTGTAAATGACACAAATTATACGGATTTTATCGCGTTACCGATATTTCGGGTGCTTTACAGCATGGGGTGGACCACAGAGTACATTATATATAGGGGGGACTGAGGTGTTTGACGACCCGATGTTATAGTTATCCCGGCTACCTTTAGTTTTGAATATTAATTTTTGGTCTGATTTACACTTACAGTATCTTAAAGTGAATCAGATTTATTAAAAAATAATTAAAAAGATAAACTAAACGCATTAAAATCCGTAAAATTTATTTCATTTAATGCATAGTGTTCGCGTAAATATCATTATAAAAAATAGCGTACATATTTATAGCCGCAGCATACCTACCACGTGTAAGAGAAACATAAACCCCCTTTGTTATACAAGATGTCTAAAAATTATATTTGATGATATGCAGCAGTGTTTTAATCCATTGCCGAATGCATTGACCCCTTCAAATTGAGAGAACAGCCTATATTACATATTTAAGGCTGCCAAAGCGATAAGCAAGTTCGCTTTCCGTGTGACCGTAAATAAAACGAGCCCATGGATAATTTTTTCGTATGATAAGCTAAGCGGACGTGATAAGTGAATGATACAACAGGTCATAAACATCATTATTACAATAATATGTAAATTAGTTTGATTTATTATTTACTGTCTATTAATCTATTTATTTATTAACGATCCTACTCACAAAATCGACGTCAATTTAAGAAATGCTTCAACAACTTGAAGCATTTCTGCAACCTGTTTCTCTCTCCCCCTCTTTCTCTCTCTCTCGCTCTCTCTCTCCACTAAATGATAATAGATAAAGACAGGTATATAGGTTAATAACACTTAAGTTTGTTTTTTTTAATTCGTTGTAGAAGGCTGCTCTTCCAAGCCTATGACAACTAATGCTCGAGTTCGTCAGGGGTCCGTTACTCCGCAACTGTTCCTGCTGAATTTTAATAACCTACTTATGCCCGGGATCGATGAGTACGCATGAGACTTATTGGTGACATCAATACAGTTAGAACCAATCTTACCAGCCTCGAGGAACTGGAGCACAGGCGCGAAGTGGCCAGCCTTTTGGTTTTTTACAGGATACATTTCGTTGAATGTGTGCAGGAGGACCACCAGACGCTAGGTGGTCTCCACCCGTCTGTTGTTGACCATACCTCGAATTCTAACTAAACGGTTTGCTTCATTCATAATGCGTACAATAAAGGAGTGGAATAATCTGCAGCATTTGCCTTTCCATTCGATTATAGTGTGAGTCAAGGCAAGAGTGAATAGGGTTATATAAGCTAAGTCAGTTTTCCTTACCATCTTTCGCTGCATCACCAATTACCATCAGGATATTATTATTATTAGTAAGTTTCAGTTCCCTGGTATCAATTATAAATAGATTTCATTTTAAGGCGTATCCCCACGCCAACGACCTTGGGTGTACGGAACTCTTTATCGCTCTCCACACCACCCGCACCTAAAGATCACGCTCACTTTCTCACTACAAGATTGTCATTGCGTAGGTATGCCTATACCGTACGAGGGGCAGAATGATCGGGAATAGAATATTTCGGATTGAGTTACAATAAAACCTTTTTTAGAATTTGAATACTGGCCTCTTACAATCTTAATGACATTCAAACAATTATAAAAATTTAAAGTTGACACGTCGTTAACAGAAATGGAGCTCACTCGTTAACATTTCCGTGCCATAATTTATCACAATTTTCATCGCGGCTTATTTGAGATAAATGCCTCAGCGAACTTGTTTCGATTTATGATGTTGAAGCACCGAGTCAAACGACAATATATCGCTGGTATGCCGAGTTCCGACGCGGTCGTGTATCGCTCAGCACTATTTCTTCTACAAGTCGACCAAAAACATCGGTTATGCCGGAAAACATCGCAGCTATGCGAACTATAACATTAGATGAACGTCATGTGACATACAAGCAGATTCGGGCTGTTATCAGTATCGGAATGACTGCAATTCAGTCGATATTAAATAATTAGCTGTGTGTAAGAAAGCTAGTTTCCCGCTGGGTTCCACACAATTTGTCCGAAGAGCAAAAGGCGGCTCGTGAAGATTGGTGTGAAGATTAGTGGAAGAGTGGTGAAGAACGTGGTCCTTCCCCGGTCGAGCCGACCCATTTCTGCCACAACTATACTATTAATATAGCTGTACCATGGCTCTATCACGTATAAAATTTATTTAAATTTATAGATTGGTTGGGTTAGGTATATTTAGTTCCTTCGAGATACGGAAAATTCTAGATAAGTCAGAAGCCCAAGTCCAAAATCGTAAAAACTACATCCACCGTGCCTGAATAGGCACAAGCAATAAAAGAACATATTATTTTTTTATAGGATAAGGGTGACAAACGAGCACACAGTCCACCTGATGGTAAGTGGTTGCTGCGGCCCATAGACATCTATCTTCTATTACAAATCAAAATGTAGATGCGTTGTCACCCGTGAGGACTAAGATGGAATGCCTCATTTCCAGTAAAAAAGGCCTCCGGCCACCTGCACTCACCAAGCGAAACGCAGAGGTAAACCTCTACTTCACGCTGGTTTTCTGTGAGGTCGTGGTACCACCCCGGTTCGAGCCGGCCCATCCGTGCGACAGCAAAAGCTGCCGCGTGGCTCTACCACTGTTTAAATTTATTAGTATTAAAGTTATTTTACGTGGTAGAGCCATGCTGCAGCTATATTAGTATAGCTGTAACACGAATGGGTCGGCTCGACCAGGGAAAGACCACGCTCTCACAGAATACCAGCGTAAAATAGCAGCTTAACACTGCTGTGTTTCGTATGGTGAGTGTAGAGACCCACAGACCCTTTTCACTGGAAAAGAGGCATTCCATCTTAGTCCTTACAGGTGACAATGCATCTGCAATTTGATTCTTTATTGAGGATAGATGTGGATGTCTATGGGTCACAGCGACCACTTACCATCTGGTGGACTGTGTGCTCGTTTGTCACCCTATTCTATAAACTATGATAACCAATCTTTAAACTTTAATATCTTTCCACTGTCTGAACGGTATAGAAACACTAAAATTAAAGGTTGTGAGGTATTCCATCTTACACCTTAGATGTGACAATGCATCTGTAGCCTTCTTTGTTTCAAGTTGGCTGCAGCTGTCCATGGACAGCAGTAGTTACTTACCATCAGGTGAACTTTAAGTTCGTTTGTTACTTGTTTTATTAAAAAAAACACTACGATTAATTTCCAGGTATTCATCAATCCCGTTTACGAGAAATCAGAGCTCAGTTTCTGTATAAAGAAAACAAGCATGAAAGGCCTCCTTATTGGAAACGAGATCAAGAATCGAAATTATTATAACAAATTGAAACATCTTATACCAGAGATCGATAAATCTAAAGCTGGTAGCTTGAAGTCCGAACAGTTTCCTACATTGAACACAATTATTAGTGACGAAAAGGAAAAATTAAGGTATTTATTTTGTTTATTTATTTAACGTGGTAAAGCCACGCTCCAGCTATATTATGGTTGCGTTATGAATAGGTCGGCTCGACCGGGAAAAAACCACGCTCAATCAAAACAAACCTAGCAAGGTAACAGCATAGCAAAGTGGCGAAGCAATCAGCTTTGTAGCGGTTTCTAACGGTTACCGTTGAGCAATCAGTTTCAAAATAGGAGGTTCATATACCTGGGTGATCAGTAATCGATTGCTGAAAACAGAATTTGAAAATTCAAAACCGTTCTCGAGATAATCTTGGGACAGACGGTCAGACGGACAGACGGACAGACGGACAGACATCGTGAAATCAATAAGTGACTTCGCAAGCTTCGCCACTTAATAAGTGAGGTTTCGTCTGGCGAGTATAGAGAACCGGGGATCCTTTTTTACTGATAACGAGGCATTCTTTCTTAGTCCTCAAGAATGATAACGCATTTATATTTAGATTCTGAATCGAGGGTAGATGTAGGTATCTATGGCCTCAACATACCATCAGGTGCACTGAGTGCTCGTTCGAAAAACGATAATATTACATTAAGTTAACTTATTAACAGTGACTATGTTTCAGCGACGTAAGAGAATTCACGCCATTTCTTCTAATAGTATCGTATTAGGTGACATGGGATATGCAACAAGGATCACATGATCTCCGATAGATTCCCATCTCGCATATTATACATTTTATACAAGTAACATTGACAAAGGAGCGCACAGTCCACCTGATGGTGAGTGGATGCCGTCGATGAAGTATCAAATTGCAGACGCGTTATCGTCCCGGGATTCTCTACACGGTCCCTCCGGAACTCTACACTCACCAAGCACAGCAGCATAATGCTGCTCTTATACGATAGTTATTTATGAAAGAATGATCCTGCCCTTCAAAGCCAAGTACGATCTATTCTTAATCGATGATTGCTAGAGACTATCTGCCTACCCTAGGGCAGCTAGGGTAGGCAGGTAGTTTTGTTTAAATCAGCACGAAGTTAAGAGATATCCATACGGAACGAGAAAATTTTGTCCTTGCCTTTTACCGCTTTTACATTTTTTTCTGCTTATTATGCAAACTACATTTTTAATAAAGTTAATTTTAATATGCATCTAAAAGATTTCTTAATAATTTGGACTACAATTTTGTAATATAAAAAGCATTTCAACTTTTTTAAAAAAATCGGAGATAATCCACACTGCGGTGTCTAACTTCTGCGGAGTCACTAACGTGTATCACAATGTACAATAAAAAATTTTCTAAAATTAAAAAACATTTTTGTAAATATGTCTATATCTTTGTAAATATATTAATATAGCGATAAGCACGGCTTCGCACGAGTGATTTCTGGATCTCGACAACAGAGCCACCTACAGGGTCCAAATGTGAATCTAAACCATCTAGAAACCTATGAAACATAGAAAACACATAAAAAAATTTCATCAAAGTCGGTCGAGCCGCTTTTAAGTTTTAGCGAGACTAACGGACAGCAATCGATTTTTATATATAAAGATATTAATATTATTATATCCAAAGTATTTTATGATATTTAAACAATATTATATAATATAGTGTGGGGGTAATGTTTTTTTTTAAAACAAAAAATATTTACAAAGACATAATCATATAAATAAAGTAATTAACACATTTCTCACCAATGAATATATGAAAATCTTGACACGACGATCGTTCTTGAACTTTACAGCAGCGTGTACCAGCTTAACTCTCTCATCGATAACTATAAAAATAAACCCGAAATATCGAAGTACGGCAGTGAAATAAAACCAGATGACGGCAGCATCATTCATTTTACATCGGGGACAACGGGTGGGTTGCAGAGGTATTACTAAAACTTAATATGTATTATCTAGATACAATATTTTCTTCTTCATCGGACTGTGCGCCTGTGACACGCTACTGCTTGATATGGGTCTCTCACATTGTACAAAAGGGTTTGCCATAATCGCCACGGATTGCTGATCGAAGTAGCGGATCCTTCGCGCCATTAACTTGCGAAATTTACAGTTAGCGCCGAGCCCTTAAGTTCATGGGTAGAGCGAAGGGATGACAACCGTGCTATCCCACACCGTAAATGGGGTCTTCCTCAATTACGAAACCATTTCTATGTACGAATGTTTTATATTTTTATAAAATTGTCATAATATTACCTGCTTCCAGGTTATATTACTTGTATGTGTAAAGCCGGGGTTAGCATATCAACTATCCCATATCGTTGCAACAAAGATAGATGTAGATGTCTATGGGCCACAGCAACCACTTACCATCAGGTGGACTGTGCGCTCGTTTGTCACCTTATCCAAAAAAAATATCGTTGCGTGGATGTCATAGGTAAGAGGCGACAGATGTCAATTAAAATAAAAGATGGGCAGCAGCATCTTCCTGATGACAAAATAATAAATATGCCAGAGTGTCGTGGAACACTCGGTTGGAACGAAGTTCCTTTCGTAGTATATTATTATTAATAAACGTATTATATTATTGATTAAAAAATACAAATAAATGACTAGTATTTCATTTATTTGTATTTTTTAATCATCGTCTATTAAAATGAAACGTCATTTAAAATAATATTTCTTTCATGGCAAGATAAGAAAAAGTGCGAGGGAGACGGATATTATTCCATATCGCTCGCACTATAGAAAGGGGGTCGTGACGATAAAATCTTACACTTTCTCTCGCCTAGCCCCAATCCGTAAAATTCGTACCGAACGATAAGGAGCTTCATTCCAAAAACTGAGGTTGCCAAACTGCAAGCCAAGCGTGGCAACTATGGCAAATCGTCTCTATGAAACAATCTATGGGAGAGTCCTGTGTTCATCTGTGGACTTTTATAGGCTGTAATAAAACAGTTACCTATGCCGTCACAGTAAAAAAAAAAACAGTATTAATTGAAACGTTTTAATAATTTAACCTCCAACTTGGCACTTTGTGTAGGAATCACTTGATAATTTACATTCATTACACTAGCGACCTAATTTAAATACAATGCACGTATTTATGAATAATGGAAATATTATGAAAATAGAAGTTTTACGTAACAGTGATACGATCCTTATTTAATTATTGATAATAGAAGTACGGTTCAGTAGAGTAAGGCTAAGGGTTTGGGTTCGGAGATGCAGGCCGCGGGTTTGAATCCCGCACGAAATATTGTCTAATACCGTTACAGTCTATTAAAGTCCACTGCTGAACATAGGCCTCTCCCATAGCTTTTTGACGTGACAACGTCTTATAATTCGATGAATTTGGCTGCACGCACGAAAAAACATGACTCATGCGGCGTTACCTCGCTCTGAGGCGTTCCATTTAAGGCTTTAAGTGCAAACGAGAGCGCGGAGCGAGCCACAAAGAGGCATAATCGGCCTCCGCGTTCGGCAGCGTTCGACATCTGTCTCTCTCCTACTTGAGTGAGCGATGCGTCCGCATGGACAGCTGCTATACAATAATACATTTACATGTTTTCGTCAAGTGTGAAGAGCAATGAAAAGTGAATGTGGTGTCAATTGTTTATAGCAATATTTTCTTATGACGTTGTCACGTTCAACTATCGTCAGTAAACCGACTTTACAGACAACCGATATTTTTTATACGATGAAGCTGACAAACGAGCACACAGTCCACCTTATGGTAAGTGGCTGCTGTGGCCCATAGACATCTACATCTATCCACGTTTGCGAATCAAAATACAGATGCGTTGTCACCCATGAGGACAAAAAGGAATGCGTCATTTCCAGTAAAACTGGTCTCCGGTTCCCTACACTCACCATACGAAACACAGCAGCGTTAAGCTGCTATTTTACGCTAGTATTCTGTGCGAGCGTGGTCCTTCTCCGGTCGAGCCGACCCATTCGTGATACAACTATACTACTAATATAGCTGCAACATGCTACCTCATAGAGGGCTTACCTCATAGAGGGGCTATTTGCCATAGTTGCCACGCTTAGCAAGCGGGTCCTATTTTTATTTTTAGTCATTATTAGGAAGACGCTGCTGCCCATCTCCTGATTTGTTTCGCTCTGTCGCCTCTTAAGACACCCACTGGATGTTATGGGGTAGTGAATATTCTTACACTGCCCCGCAAGTACCCGGTATGTGTGTTTGTATGGCGAAGAAATAATTGTTATTGGTCAGGACGTTTGTTCATATGCTATTTATGTACGTCAAACGCCTTCACGATACTAGAGAAATTCTGTGTGAGTAATATTATAAAAGAGTATTGCTAAAAAAAAACTTTTGTTTTTAATTTGCTGAACAAGTCATCAAATTATTAAGTTGGGTAAAGTTAGTACCGTTTCGACAATCATATTTTATCAAGCTTATGACATCCATAATATCTTAATTATCCTTTTATTAGAGACTTATTCGTAGTATTTAGTTTGTAGTAGTAGTTATTGTAAGTGCAGCATTGCCATTTGGTGGTTGTGTTAGAGAAACCATCACTTTATTCCGTCCCGTAGGTGTTATTAGAGGTGAATATGGGATATGTCAGAAGGATCTCATGGCTTGCAATAGATGTTGGTATAACAATCTCGTGTACGCCAGACTAAAAATACCCAGACCGACGATGGGAAGCGAAATCAAAGGTGCGAGACGTCTGGATCTGCGACCGGAAATCTATCCGCCAAGCGTGATAATTAAGGCAAGTCCTTCCCACAGTAGGAGTGGCGCATTTCTAGCAATGGACTTTTACAGCTTAATGAAAAAAGGAAGAAGTAGCATTAACGTATTTTTTATTTCATAGGGGACCCTAAAGCAGCATTAGACTCTCATCTGGGAGTCGTGAACAACACGTATTTCATAGGCAAAAGAAATGGATTTCACCAAGGTCATCAGAAGATTTGTGTTCAGGTATATTTCTTTTCCTATTATATAAGCTAGTGATTAACTTCTATACCACCTGATGGTAAGTTGAGATATAGCAGACGATGGTAAAGCGTACTATTTACTACTACTTCCTAGAGCCGATTACTTGACTTGGATGACAATTGCCTTGAAGACTGAGTGTCTTTTCATGTAAAGTCTTCAAAGCATTGTAATCGGATGGTACGATAAACGCTGCCAATTTTTTCAAAAAAATTTTTTTTAACTTACTGTATGTTAGGATTTTTATACTTAGGTTTCCTGGCACAAAAAACCATCAGCCCATATAATCCTAATGGATGCTAGAATAGAAACAGAATAAAAGAGAATAGAACTAGATATAAATCCTCAGAACGGCGACAAGAAACAGAATCAAAGTGCCAGACATTTTGTCAGTCTTTTTTGACTTGACAACGTCTTATAATTCGATGAAGCTGGCTGCACGCACGAAAAACATGACTCATGTGGCGTTACCTCGCTCTGAGGCGTTCCATTTAAAGTGCAAACGAGCGACAAAGAGGCACAATCGACCTCCGCGTTCGGCATGTCCGCATGGACAGCTGCTATACAATAATACATTTACATGTTTTCGTCAAGTATGAAGTGCAGTGAAAAGTGAATGTGGTGTCAATTGTTTATAGCAACGATAATTTCGGTCCACAGTCACAATCACACAGTCCACCTGATGGTAAGTGGTTGCTGTGACCCATAGACATCTACATCTATCCTCAATAAAGAATCAAAATGCAGATGCGTTGTCGCCCGTGAGGATACTCTTTACACCATACGAAACACAGCAGTATTTAGCTGCTATTTTGACGCTGGTATTCTGTGAGAGCGTGGTCCTGCGCCGGTCGAGCCGACCAATTCGTGCTACAACTATACTACTAAATACAAGCGTGACGACAAAAGGAAACCCGCCCCACAACGGGAGAGGCCTCCCGTTGCAGGGCTCCATGCTATAAAAGAAGACGTACCTATCGCACCTGTGACGCTGTTGCCTGTCGCTATCTGAGTCTTTATAGTCTGGCGTAAATGAGACGGTTATACTGCGTTCAATGAGAAGTCATACGATTTTTCTGGAAATTCCCATGCACATCTCTTACGACACCCACGGGACGCATTAGAGAATTTTCAATCTAATTTACTTACTTTTTTAAGTATAAAAAACCTTACTAAATGATACTTGTTATCAGGTACCGCTGTTCCATGCCCTTGGATCTGTAGTAACAGTGTTGGGCGCCTTGAGACACGGTGCCACTCTGGTACTTGCAGCTCCAATATATGATATAGCTGCTAATATCAACGCTATGTTAGCTGAGAAGTAAGTTTGTTGATACATTTTGTTTCGTGAGTAATAATTACTTGAGTTATAAGTTAGGCAATTTATTTTAATCGCCATACTGAAGACTAAGATAAAACGCCTCGTTTTCAGTAAAAGAGGCTCTCCGGTTCTCTACTCTCACCATACGTAACACAGTAGCATTGAGCGGCTATTTACGTGGTAGAGCCATGCGGCAGCTATATTAGTAGTATAGTTGTAGCACGAATGGGTCGGCTCGACCGGGAAAGGACTACGCTCTCACAGAATACCAGAGATCTTATCTCTGTAACTCTGGTCGCAATAACTCTGCAATTTCCTTTAATTTTTAAATATTCATCCGTAAATGCTCTTTAAATTTTATATTGTTTACTTTAGTTCGGATATCAATGTCGCGTATTCTCTAACCAAATTTCTGTTTCTTCAAAGTGGGTCGACCCACTGTCATTTGAGTTTGGGTTTGCGTTTATTACATTCCAGTTTTTCCATTTCTTCCGATAAAAGCGTAACGATAATAATATCGCACATAGATCTGTCCAAGTTCTAATCGCTACTCAGTCACCCAGCGTTTTAGGTGGCAGATAGAAGTGTTTCAGCGGAAATAGCGCGTTATCTCGACCTTTTATAATCTTGCGATGCTGTACGCGGCTGATAGACCTGGAGCTGTTTAAGTGTAACCAAAATCCAGCTGAACGCGAATGGAGCTGAATAAATGTAGTTACTCCCCAAAGCAAAGCACAAGCAAGTACTTTTTTGTGGCAGATGTATAATTCTTAAGTACTTTTAATTAAGTGCTACAATACGACCGACAAATAGATGAAACTAAAGAAAACATGTAAATTGATAACCTCTCACCAGTATCGATCTTACAGTTTATCGTCATGAATCGTCACAAGCACACGTTACGCCAGCGTTTTGCTTTATATATGCGGCACAACTTAAAGCCTTTTTATCAGCCATGAGGGTAGGGTTTAGGCGTCGTCTAGCCAGAACGTATAACTGTAATTTTATATACTTGACGGCTGCGTGACGCAGGGGCTTAGCAATGCATTCCTCCTGACCGAATTTCGGTCACGGCGAGCAAACTGGTAACTTTTTTTTATAGAATAAGGGTGAAAAACGAGCAGAGTCCAAGGGGGAGGCATTGGCCGTTAGTTTGGACATAGCGAAGGCCTTCGATCGGGTCTGGCACAAGGCGCTTCTTTCGAAGCTTCCTTCCTATGGGCTTCCCGAGAAATTGTGCAAATGGATCACCAGTTTCCTTGCTGATCGGAGCATCAAGGTCGTAGTAGACGGTGCATGCTCTGATTACAAGCCTATCAACGCTGGTGTTCCACAAGGCTGCGTGCTATCACCAACGCTGTTCCTCCTGCATATCAATGATATGTTGCTAACTGGTAGCATTCATTGCTATGCAGACGACAGCACTGGGGATGCCTTATATACCGGCCGTGCCAATATTTCTCGGGAAAACGTCGCCGAGTACCGGGACAAACTTGTGTCTGAAGTCGAGTCTTTGCTTAACAAAGTCTCGGATTGGGGCCGACTAAATCTAGTCCAGTTCAATCCCCAGAAGACACAAGTTTGCGCGTTTACCGCTAAAAAGAACCCCTTTGTCGTATCTCCTCAGTTTCAAGGCACTCCCCTTGCTGCCTCAGCCAGTATCGGAATCCTTGGCGTCGACATATCGAATAGCGTGCAGTTTCGTGGTCACTTGGAAGGGAAGGCCAAATTGGCCTCTAAAAAGCTTGGCGTGCTCAGCAGAGCGAGACAGTATTTCATGCCGGCACATCGCTTGCAACTTTACAAAGCTCAAGTTCGGCCCCACATGGAATACTGTTCTCATCTCTGGGCCGGGGCACCCCAGTGCCAGCTCCTTCCACTTGACCGCATCCAGCGCAGAGCGATTCGAATCGTCGACGACCGAGTTCTTTCCGATCGGCTCGATACACTGGCACTGCGTAGAGATGTTGCATCTCTTTGCGTATTTTATCGCATCTATCACGGGGAGTGCTCTGAGGAATTGTTCGGACTAATTCCAGCCGCTCAATTTCACCATCGCACGTCGCGACAAAACTCGCGTTACCATCCGTACCATCTGGATGATTGGCGGTCCACCACTGTGCGATTTAGAAGAAGTTTTCTCCCTCGCACAACTTCTTTGTGGAATCAATTACCACCAGCGAATTTTCCGAACCGATACGACTTAGGAACCTTCAAGAAAAGAGCTTACACCTTTCTAAAAGGCCGGCAACGCATCTGCAATCCCCCTGGTGTTGCGGTTGTTCATGGGCGGCGGTAGTCACTTACCATCAGGTGAGCCGCATGCTCGTTTGCCCCCTATTCTATAAAAAAAAAAAAAAAAAACACAGGTCACCTGATAGTAAGTGGATGCTGTGGCCCATAGATAGATGCCGATGCGTTGTCACCCCTGAGGACTGAGATGGAATGCCTCGTTTCCAGTAAAAGAGGGTCTCCGGTTCTCTACACTCACCATACGAAACACAGCAGCATTAAGCTGCTATTTTACGCTGGTATATATATATTATAACATTACAAATAATCACAGATGCACAGCAGTGACTGGCACCCCGACGATGTACGTGGACATAATATCGCAGATCCGAGACAAAGGCGACCTACCGTTGAACCTCAGGATGGCGCTGGCGGCTGGCGCGCCCTGCAGTCCGCAGCTGATCCGACACATACAAACCTACCTGAAGGCACACTCTGTATTGGTAAGCAAAGATATTTTTTATTCATTCATTTCAGTCTCGCATAAATTGGCTGTTAAACGTACGCATCACCAATAGATTGCCTCATAGGGGAATATTTTTCATAATTGCAACGTTGGCGGGGAGATCGGCAAGCTCAATTTTTTTCATTACTAATGTTTTGTTATCAGGAAGATGCTGCTGCCCATCTATTGTTTCAGTTTCCCTCTGTCACCTTTTACGACACCTTGGGGATGGGATGGAGTGGGATGGAATGGGATGGATTTCAATTGAGAACCTCCTTATTTGAGGAAGTAAAAATCTAAATGAAAATTTCTTTTGCAGGCTCTGTACGGTCTGACGGAAACAACAGCTAGTGTCTTTCAATCAATGCCAGGTGATAGTATCGACACTGTTGCTGAGACCGTCGGTTATATTCAAGATCATGTGGAAGTAAAGGTTAGTAATAATAATAAGTTTGGTCCGTTTTGTCTCCCCTGCCGAGGGCTTCCATCTGGTTGGGTTTTTTTATATATTTATGTATTTTTTATGTATTTATTTTATTTTATTGATATTTATATACGTTTACCATGTTTATTTACAATTATATATTTATATTGCCCAACCAGATGAGAAAACTTTGTAGATACCACATAATAATAAAGTCCTCCAGACCGTATTTCGGTCACGGCGACCAGTCTCAACGGAGACTAGACATCTGCACAGGACAGGATTATAGTGCCCGAGTGTATGCGCAAGCACAAATGCACTTTCCTTCACTCTCATAGTCCGATGGCACGATTACCGACACGACCGAATAGGGAGCGCAGGTCCAACCAACGGCTGTTTTCCGAGGCACGACCGTGAAACATCGCCAACTTCTTGACTTCAGTATGAAGCTAATAGCCCATATAGTCTATAGTTAATAGCTAAAGATAATAGGCCGTGGTAGAGCCATGCTGTAGCTATATTAATAGTATAGTTGTAGCACGAATGGGTCGGCTCGACCGGGGAAGGACCACTCTCTCACAGAATACCAGCGTAAAATAGCAGCTTAATGCAGCTGTGTTTCGTATGGTGAGTGTAGAGAACCCGAGACCCTTTTTACTGGAAAAGAGGCATTCTATCTTAGTCCTCACGGGTGACAACGCATCTGCATTTTGACTCTCAAACGAGGATAAATGTAGATGTTTATGGGCCACAGCAACCACTTACCATCAGGTGGACTGTGTGCTCGTTTGTCACCCTATCCTATAAGAAAAAAAACAAGATTCAGACAAGGTTAATATTGTATTTGTATTAGTAATCAAAATCGCTCATCAACAGCTTTGCGACTCTTCCGCTAGAGTAAGACATTAGATTTATTTCAGACTAGCTGTTCCCCGCGACTTCGCCAGCGTATAATTTAGATTTTTAATTTTTTCGCGCGGAACCGTAATTATTTTTCTTAAAGAAAAGTAGCCTAAGTTACTCCTTATAACATCAGCTATCTGCCAGTGAAAGTCCCATCAAAATTAGTTCAGCCGTTTCGGATATCAGCCGGAACAAACAAACAGACAGAAAGACACACAAAAATTTTAAACATTGTGTTTTTGTTATAAGTACCGTATATACTTTCATATGCATTTAGTGAAAAGCTGTTATTTTGACATTATAAACAGGCACTCCAATTTTATTTATTTGTATAGATATAGATTACCTCGTTCTACTCCTGTCATCGTTTAGATATTCCTATTGTGATCCATCAGATAATGACTCTATTGAATCTATATGAATCTATTAATGTGGCATTATTTGGGTTTAACATACTCAAAGGCCAGTAATTTCATCAATTCTTTTTAATATCCAAGTTTTTCGGATAAAATATAGCCTAGATCACACCTGGAGTTGCTGCTATCTATAAGTGAAGTTTGTTAGCAATCGGTGCAGCTATTTCGAAGAGTAGCCCGGACAAACAGAGAGACTAAAATTTTAAAAATGGTTTTCATGTCTTAATGACGTGCCAAATAAATAATGACATTTATACAAATAAATAAAATTGAATTGTCTGTTTGTAATGTCAAAATTACAGCTTTTTACTAAATGCATATGAAAGTATATACGGTACTAATAACAAAAATACAATTTTTAAATTTTTTGTCCATCTGTCTGTTTGTTCCGGCTAGTCTCCGAAACGGCTGGACCGATTTTGATGGGATTTTCACTGGCAGATAGCTGATATCACAAGGAGTAACTTAGGCTACTTTTATTTTAGAAAACAAATTAGGGTTCCGCGCAAAAAAATTGAAACTCCAAATAACACGCGGGCGAAGTCGCGGGGAACAACTAGTGCCAAATAAATATGGGAAATATTAGATGAGTATAAGGCTGTAGTTTCGATATTACAGACAGACACTTCGATTTTATTTTGTAAGTATAGGAGTATAGATAAACATAGATTATTAAAATATACATAAATGTATCATGTTATCATTAAAATAATTTTATCCGTACACTAAAGGTGATTAATGAAAAAGGCGAAACGGTGCCGTTCGGCAAACCAGGTGAACTGGTCACGCGAGGATACAACAATATGATGTGTTATTGGGGCGAACCGGAAAAAACTAGAAGCATGCTAGACAAAGAAGGATGGTTAAAGACTGGGTAAGTTGGTTTGATATAGGCTTGTATAATAAAAGACTCTCAGATTACTGCTTACACTTTTATTCGTCCTGAGGCTTTAGTTTAAACTCTATATATTATACATTTATTTGGTCTTAATCTATGTTTCGTCACTAACCCAACCGTCTCCCACGGCTGTCTGCCACTTTATGCCCTTTGCTTCGTGCAACTGACCACATCCCCTCTCTTACTGTAGTGTTGTGCCATTCTAATTAAGTTAATTTACCAATAAAATGTCAATTGCTTAAACAGAAACTATACTCTTAGAAAATTAATTAAGTGAAAACCTAACACTTGTGAATTTGCATGCCTTCGAAATCTGAACCATGAACTAACACGTACGTATACACTCACACTAAACGTAACTTTACATATTTTCGTTTTTAACATGCTTTGATTAGTTTGACCTGTACTTATTATGTTTTTTATTATAAAACTAGCTGTTCCCCGCGACTTCGCCCGCGTGTAATTTAGGGTTTTAATTTTGTTGCGCGGAACCCTAATTATTTTTCTGTAATATAAGTAGCCTAAGTTACTCCTTATAACATAACCTATCTACCAGTGAAAGTCCCGTCAACATCGCTCCAGGCGTTTCTGAGATTAGCCGGAACAAACACACAGACAGACAAAAGTTTTTTAAATTGTGTTTTTGTTATATAAGTACCGTATATACTTTCATATGCAATTAGTAAAAAGTTATTATTTTGACATTACAAACAGACACTTACAATTTTATTTATTTTCATAGATTAGAGTTACAAACACAGAGTACCTACTTTGTATATACCCGAAAATGCAAACGAGCACACAGTGACACAGTGTTCCTGATAGTAAGTGAATGAAGTGGCCTATAGACATCTACATTTAACTTCGACTAAGAATTAACATTACATTTTAATGCAAATACATTGTCGTCCCTGAGGAACAAAACTCTCTGCACTTACCATATGAAACACAACAGCATTATGTTGCTTTTTGTCGCTGATATTCTACGCGAGCGTGGTCTTTTCCTGGTCAAGCAGTCCCATGCGTCCTGCAGACATAATACACAGCAGCTTACAAAACGCATTGTTCTATAACCTTCTCTTTTTTTATTCAGTTTGAGTAACAAACGAGCACACGGTCCACCTGATGGTAAGTGGATGCTGCGGATTCTATATGTCTATATAGAATCAAAATGTGTTGTCACCTCTGAAGACTAAGATATAATGCCTAGTTTCTAGTAAAAAGTCTCCGGTTCTCACTCACCATAAGAAATACGGCAGAAATAAGCTGTTATTTCATGCTGGTGTCCTGTGAGAGCGTGTTCCTCCGTGTTCCATTCGTGCTACAACCATAATGTGGTTGCAGCGCGGCTATACCACGTATATTTATTTTCACTGCTGATTAATGGTTCTGTAATAAAGCTGAGAACAAACTATCGGACGCGGCTTATTTGAATCTAGCCAGTACATTTAATACTACACTGTGCAAACTATCGGTCGTAAGACGCGGACGTGCCCTTGGGTCGCTCTTGAGCGTTCAGACGTCCGAACTGAATCTAGCTCGACGCCGTCTCGACTAACGTGCACACCGCTAAGCCGCGTGTGTCAGCCGCTGCTGACGGACACGTCCGATAGTTTGTTCTCAGCTTAACTCTCTCAGCAATAAGAGGAGGTATGTGCCTTGCAGTGGGACGAAAATAGATTCTTTTAATTTTTCCAGGGACGAATTCACAGTGACTCCTGACGGTTACGGCCGTGTCGTCGGCAGATTAAAAGACATCATAGTGAGAGGCGGAGAAAACATCGCGCCAAAGGAAATTGAGGATCTACTGAACACGCACCCCGACATTATTGATAGCCAGGTAGGTGCTAAATGATTTATGTGGCAATATAAACTATGCTTATGTTGATATATTAATTGAGATTAATTGTATACAAATTTTAATATTAACAAACTATTAGGACAGATTAAATAATGTTACTACGTAACTATTATACAAATGAGAGAGAGAGAGAGAGAGAGATCACGTGAGTAAAGAAACGATAGTGCATAAATTTCATCAGGTGTCTCGCAACCAGTGTGACCATTTTTAAAATACAGATCCTGCCATACTTTAGTTAAAAACCTGCCAAATCCTGCCAAATTCTGTAGTGAAAAATGCCTAAATACTACCAACTTTATTTACCATTTTATTAAATGAAAAGTAAAAATACACATTTAAATGCTATATTTCTATTAAATTAAAATTAAACATTTCTTTCGTTGGTTTGAATGTAATGCAATCGCCATGCTCACTAATGCCTTGTTTAAGGTGCAAGATCTACATGTTTGTTTATAAATATGTTTCGTGTTTTTGTCTAAATTAAATTTATTTGAGACAATATTCTATCGCATGCGGCATGCTCCTTTAAAGCGGATAGCCGGGGTGCCAATTTGCAGTTGCACAGTCTGGATCATCTTTACCTTTGGTGATCCACGATGAAAGTAAAGGATCTTGCTTCCACTCTGCTCTATACGCCCTTTCATATTTTCGTTTCATCACCGCCACCTATAATTACAATCGTCCACGAAATATTATTAACAAGATATTATCACCATGAAATCTAATGCTTCATGACTTTCTTCTATGACTGATTGAAATATTAACCATAAACTCGTGTTTATGAATACTCGTTTTAAGAATATCAACTTTACATACAATTTTTTAAAGTTGTTTACTGAATGTGTTACAAACATAATACCTACGAGAAATACAGGGAAATCCCCCACATGCTGGCAAAGTATCTAGGGTTTCCATTTTTGGCATTTTAAGTTGGCATAATGAAATCTATTTTTAATACCCCAATACTGCCAAATACTGCCAGGTTTTATAAAACGTCAACCGGTCATGCCAGAGGCTAAAATCACAGGCCAATCCTGCCAAAACGACAGGAACCTGCCAAATAGGGATGTCCGATTTTTTGTTTTGAATCGATCTTCTGGATCGTAATGGATCGTAACCTCGTGAATCGATTCACGGTTTAATCATATTGCATTGAATCGATCTTAATCGATCTCGGAAAATCGTATCGTAATTTTATAAAAAATAAAGAAAAGCACAGTAGGCATGCATAATTATTTATTTTAACAATGCCTATTACGGTATCCAGTGAGTTTTTCCAAATAATTATTTTTGAAAAGTATAAAACAGGTTTTACATTATGAATTCCAGCTATCTACATTTAATTTTTTTTCTAAAATAAAAGTAGCGTAAGTTATTCCCTGTAACATGGGGTATCTGCCAGTGAAATTCCCGTCAAAATCATCCCATCCGTTTCTGAGATTAGCTGAAACATACAGACAGACAGACGAACCGACAAACAGACTGATTTTCTTTAATTTATCTTTTGTTATTAGTACCGTATATACTTTGATATATATTCAGTAAAAAGCTGTTATTTTGACATTACAAACAGACACCTCAATTTTATTTATTTGTATAGAAGATAGATATTTACAATTTCGGCAATTGCTGTAGTAGAACTTTCTTCACTTTTGCTTAGTTTAGAATGCCTATGTGTTGACTCTTGAAATGTTTCTTTTTTAATTGGTAGTATTTCTACTATTTTTAACCATCTGTTTACACATTTTAGATTGTCCACCCATGTCACATTTAATTAAAAGAAAGCCCAAGCGTTTGATTTGGTTGGCTTGGCCATAAAAGTATTTTAAAGTAATAGTTTACGCTCACAGAACAGTTCAACTTTTCGTATCGCAATAATACAAAGAATGAAAGATCATATAACACTAACATAGGTACCCGATACTAAAATAAACAAAATATTATCATATTTACCTTCATATTTCATACACTACCCTTTTAGATGTAACTCGAATCTACTCTCATTTAATGTGTAGGTACTAAGTAAGCCAGTAACTAAAACAAAGCAAGAAATTTGTTTTTTTTATTTTGTCCCCTCCCCGGCAATACGATAGGTATGCAAAGAAGCAAAGATCAGTTCATACGTTAGGACCTTACCGTTTGGTTGTTGTTTAGGTTTTAGTTGATACGATTTTTTCATAGATCTTATAGCCATACGAATCGATCTGGGTGAAGATCGCACTCCCTTGAATCGATTCAAAAATCCGCAGATCTTTCAGAAAATCGATTCAGATCGGGCATCCCTAGTGCCACATATGGTCTGCTCGCAACGCACCCACGCACACAAGTGCGTGCTTGACGTACGTACACATCGATCATTAATAAAAAACTAGATACACAATCCCATGCAAAAGTTCTCTAAAAACTGTCGCCAATTGTCTTGACGTAATTCTAGTTGAAATAAATATACATTAATGTAAATTCAACCATAATGCATTGCCTAAAGTTGTATATTCACAAAGCTACGTACAAATTAAAGCGCACCCAAATGTTCAAGTAATGACTCATTCGGTAATGGCATTTTTTGTCACTGATTGTGTATATAGTTTTTTTTTAATACAAACGATGTACGTACAATACAAATGCCCGCTTAAGCCATTATTAATATGGCGTTGCTGGCCGGATGAGGAAGCTCAAGGTCGCTCAGCGAGCTATGGAGAGGGCTATGCTCGGAGTTTCTCTGCGTGATAAACTTAGAAATGAGGATATCCGCAGTAGAACCAAAGTAACCGACAAAGCCCAACGGATTAGTAAGCTGAAGTGGCAGTGAGCCGGCCATATTGCTCGAAGAACCGACAACCGATGGGGAAGAAAGGTTCTCGAGTGGCAGCCTCGTACCGGTAGGCGAAGTGTAGGGCGACCCCCCACGAGATGGAGTGACGACCTGGTAAGACATGCAGGAAGTCGATGGATGCAGGTGGCTCAGGATCGTGCTTTGTGGCATTCCTTGGGGGAGGCCTATGTTCAGCAGTGGACTTATGAAAGGCTGTAATGATGATGATGATGATGAATATGGCGTTATTTTCTCTGTTGTTCACCTTTTTGGGTTCGCAACCGCAACTTTTTATTATTTTTAAATTATTATTAAAAAGATGCTGCTACCCTTCTCCTATTCAATTTCTCTTCCCGCTTCTTAGGAACTTACGATACCGACGGGATGATATAGAGAGGCAGATTGTCTTACGCCGCCATTACACGCCGATACTGATATAGATACGGGTTTCTACTCTTTTCTTATGTGCTCCTAATTCATTCTCCTAAAGACTAATGCCCGGGCTACACTAACGAGAAATGCCGTTGATTATCGCGTTGATGGGCGTTGAATGTAGGTGTGGCCACCACTTATGCTGGGGCCACAGTAACGAGAAATGTCAATGCCCAAAAACGCAACAATTATTGGCTTAATTTTAACGCGATAAACTGAGTGGCCACACTTGGTTCGGTCAACGTCATTTCAACTTCAATGCCGTTGAACGGCGTTAAAGTAAAGTGACCATTTATTTATTAACTCAAAACGGGACATGGGTTTATTTATACTCCCCACTTGGCAGGTTAACAATAAAAAAATATTATGTTATTTATTTAAAAACTGTAACTTTATACAATTAGTGTTCACTATAATAATAATCACATTAATTATAATTATATTTATATTTGTCAGTGGAACAAATTTGCTTTAATAAAGTTGGTGATGATTTTAAATAAGAGCAAGTTTTTTTTTACATTAATTTTTGTTATCAACATCGCCCTTAGAACTGGAACCTGTAAGTGATTTATTTTCAGACGTCCACAATTTATTCATAATAGAAAAATACTTTTTCTACTGGAGCATTTGTACCAGGTATACATAAAATATATTCAATTAAAATGCAAGAGAATTTACGTTGAGAATGTTGGTGAGAAATGTTTGAATCACCCAACGAATTTCTGCGAAAACTTTGAATTTATATATAATGATGTACCGACACTCAAGTTATCGTTCAACGGGAAACGGCATTGTTCTTGCCGTTGTAGAATTATCGCGTTAAGTGGTGGCCACACCTACATTCAACACCCATCAACGCGATAATTAACGGCATTTCTCGTTAGTGTAGCCCGGGAATTAACGCGATACTTCTACAACGGCAAGAACAATGCCGTTTCCCGTTGAACGATAACTCGAGTGTCGGTACATCAAAGAGATTAACGCACGAATTAACGCGTTGAAGCGGCCACACTACGTTTGTCTCATTGTGCACGGTGAGCGCAACGGAGTCGCACGTATGGCTACGATAGAGTGGAATAATGAAAAAGTTATTACGTTTCTTGAGATTCTGCAAACAGAGCCATGCTTAGGCAATGATAAAATATATTCATATAATAAAAATTTACACTCATCAAACATAGTGTAGCAGCGTCAACGTTCATCTTGCTTGAAATTCAAGGAATATTAACGTAAAGTGACCATACGTCCCGTTTTGAACGGGACTGTCCCTTTTCTCGGTCACCTGTCCCGTTGTCCCCAAAAAAAGCTCCGGGACGCAAAATAGCCGCGAGAAAATTTAAAACTATGAAGTTCGTCAGACACGAACGTTGCGAGAGCGGGACCGACCAAAAAATAACCGAATGGGCTAATTTCAAAGTTTTCGCAGAAATTCGTTGGGTGATTCAAACATTTCTCACCAACATTCTCAACATAAATTCTCTTGCATTTCAATCGAATATATTTTATGTATACCTGGTACAAATGCTCCAGTAGGATAAGTATTTTTCTATTATGAATAAATTGTGGACGTCTGAAAAAAAATCACTTACAGGTTCCAGTGTTAAAGGCGATGTTGATAACAAAAATCAATTTAAAAAAAACTTGCCCTTATTTAAAATCATCACCAACTTTATTAAAGCAAATTTGTTCCACTGACAAATATAAATATAATTAAAAAATATGTGGCATTTACTAAAATAATAAATAATTACTCTCTGAGGAACTTTAATGAAGCTGCTGAACTGGTGATTAATTTTTATTTTTCACAATTTGTTAAAATAAAAATAATTATAATTAATGCGATTATAATTATAGTGAATACTAATTGTATAAAGTTACAGTTATTAAATAAATAACAATTTTTTTTTTATTGTTAACCTGCTAACTGGGGAGTATAAATAAACCCATGTCCCGTTTTAAATTAATAAATAAATGGTCAGTTTACTTTAACGCCGTTCAACGGCATTGATATTGAAATGACGTAGACCGACCCAAGTGTGGCCACTCAGTTTATCGCGTTAAAATTAAGGCAATAATTGTTGCGTTTTTGGGCATTGACGTTTCTCGTTACTGTGGCCCCAGCATAAGATAATGTAAACCGGTAGTACAGACACCGCTGTGGACTAAAATGCAATGTCTCACACATTCTCAGTTTACATTTGCACTGATTCTCTTGTCCTTTGAAGCGAAGATGTGGTTATGCTTCTGCATAGTGGCCGAAGAGGTAAGAAACCAACCCTAACAAACTCCTAGACGGGAAGTGCAAGTGCATTTTTAATAAGATTCTTTGATTTTATTAAAAATGCACTTGCGTTTCTATCCCATTCCGCCGCAATGTAAATTGAGCCTTATGCACACACTAAAAAAAACTTATAAGTTTTTTTTTTCTAAAACTCTAACACATGATATGATAGATATGCTATAAATGCTGTAAATTTCACAGTCTGAGATTAAGTACCTTTATTTTTAACAGGTTGTCGGCGTCTCGGATGAGAGGTTAGGCGAAGAGCTATGTGCTGTATTGAGGATACGCGACGGTGCATCTATAACCATCAATGATGTGCGTAGTCATTGCAATGGGCATCTCGCCAAGTTCAAGATACCGAGAATGTTGAAAATCACCGACGAGTTCCCCAAGACCGCCTCAGGGAAAATACAAAAGTATAAACTAAGAGAACTTATTGAATCCGGAAAATTGTAGAAGTATAACTTAGTAAACAATTTGTATGTAAATTAATATATCATCTTTATTATAAAGAGACCGCCTTGTGTACATATATTATATGTACATTATTATATTACACATACATTATATTATAAACAATAAAATATTCATAACAAACAAAATATGGTTGTATTATTTTATATGTTACTGCTATTAATATGTTACTAGCAGCACCGAATCTTGACTCAGGCCTACGAGACTTGCGCTGCAATTTTGCTACCCTGGTAGCAATCTTTTGTCAATGGGAATCATTTGGTTACGTAGCATGGTCCTTCCCCGGTCAAACAGACCCATTCGTGCTACAACTATATATACTATTAATATAGCTGCAGCATGGCTCTACCACGTACAAAAGGTATATAGGTATTATATAGGTAATTAACATTCATTTATAGTAAGATAATATTAGAAAGATTTTTCTAATAAACAATGAGAGAAAGAAGCAGTTATTTGCAGCTGAAATTTGCAAATGTCACTGTACACATTACCTACTCTAACTTGAGAAAACTTACTACCTAAGGTACTTTGCAACTACAATAATTTTTACTAAATGAAAAATACAGCCAGAAATATTTAAATAAAACTTGTATATAAACAAAAGTATGAAACAAAATTATTTCCAATCGCGTCTTTATTTTCATATCCTTATTATGAAATCTGAATACAATAAGGTTTAATTGTGCTTTCATAAATTATTATTATCCCTGAATTCTATGAACTTATGGTTCTAATTCTAAATTAATATTTAAAATAGTGGTTTGCACCGGAGCAGTGAGTACCAGAGAATCACCGGTGATTTACCGGTAAAAGCACTCGATTGAAACAATCGGAGATTAACCGGTGAAACTCCGGTGATCGTATTACATCTTAAAATAATCTTTTAATGTAATAAACATTACACAAATAAAAGAAAGATTCATTAATCAATATTTTTAATTACTTAACTACATTTATTACATTTATTTACTAATTTGCTTATTTAGAATGAGACTAATTATTTCGGTCATTAACTCAAAGCGTTCTTGTCCGTTTATGTGATTAATTTCACTAGCTACTAGCTTTCCAAAAAGTACGTTGCAATGTGCGTGAACATTTTCTTCATTTTCAGTTTGTGTTCCTGTTTCATTTTTTGTGACAAGTAATATTTATTGCTTTTTTGTAATATTTGTAGAACCCTCTTGTTCTTCATCTGAAAATGGAGTCATCCTTTGCGCATATTCTTCAAATAGAACTAAATAGAAAAAAGTTAATTAAATTTTAAAAAGGTGGATTGTATCATACGTATGAAAACTACACATCAATGAAATTAAAATCGTAAACTAATTTAAAATTTTAAACTTACTTTTAACTTACCTTGAGTTTCCATCTCAAAAGAATTTTAAAATTAATTGATAGTATAACTGCCGCACAAAGAAAACTGCCCCAAGCACCTCATATTATTAGCCCAGAAGAAGAAAACATATTAAAAGATATTGTGCTTTTGCTAGATGTATTTGAGCAAGCCACTCATATGATAAGCGGAGACCAATAACAAACATCCAGTTTAATAATATCTATTATTTTTGGGCTGTTCAACGTTTAAACTGTAATTGTAAACTGTAGACTGTTCAAAGTTTGGGCCCCAGAATCTCCACAACGGTTGGAGAAATATTTTTGGAAACACTTAAAAAAGTATGAACGATCGCTTACTGGATTACGAATCTCGAACTGTTTGCCGAATTTCCACCATACTGCATCCCGTTTTCAGGAATAGCTTTAGACAATCTATACAAATAAATAAAATTGAAGTGTCTGTTTGTAATGTCAAAATTACAGCTTTTTACTAAATACATATGAAAGTATATACGGTACTTATAACAAAAATAAAGTTTTTGTCTGTCTGTCTGTCCTTCAAAATCGGCACAGCCGTTTCGGAGATTACCCGGAACAAACAGACAGAGAAACAAAAATTTTAAAAATTGTATTTAAGTTATAAGTACCGTATTTATTTTCATATGCATTTAGTAAAAAACTGTACTGTGTTTTTACATTAAAAACAGACACTTCAATTTTATTTATTTGTATAGATGTATATAGAAACACAATTTCCAGAAAAAAGTCATAACTGGGATGACGTGGTGCAATTTTGAAAATTTAATAGACATTTAAAACCTTTGGACGAAATAGCTTTTCAATAACTATCTGTGCCTGCAACTTTCGTTCAATCAGAGAGAGTATTTTCAACGACAGGTCACATAGTTAATAACAGAAGAAATATGTTGCGCCATGATGCTATTGACAGGTTGTGTTTCCACAATCAAAATCAGCATTTATATTTAATCAAATTTTGAATGAATGAAAAAGTGTTTGTTTACATCATAACATAATCTATTACAACATACGTGGTACATCTGTTGCCTAGGGAATGGTGCTGTCGAGTCATTTGAGCAAGTAGCTCTTTATTCTCCGGTGATCACCGGTGAATCACCGGAGATTGCCCAATAACCGGTGAATTCAATCGGTTGCCAAAATTCCGCTCCGGTGCAAACCTCTAATTTAAAATTGATCACTCTATTATAGGATAGGTTTATACTTTATAGGTATTACAAATTACAATATAGTTGTAAAGTAAATATAATATATATAAATAGTAATTATAAATATAGTGATAATAAATTATACTATAATTCAACAATGTGGTGATTAATGATATGTGATATCTAATTGAGTAATTAGCGGACTACCACTTTGCAATGGTATATAACATCCGCATTCAAAAATATTGTTTTTTTATGAGACACTTTTACTTGGTAACAGGCATAACACGTAACGCTTTGAGCTGTTAACTTGTTCATTCAAAGTAACACGTCAATATCACGAATTTAATCGGCGCAGCGACATCTGTTGATAAACTTGAAATAGCGTAAGCAAGTCAAAATACTTTAATAAAGATATTTATTGATATCCTTAGAATAATCAATTCTAAGTTTACATCTTATAAAATTATTTCGTTTCCCTATATAATATGGATTACAGATTCTTACAAAATAAAAGAATATCTGCCATGAATTATCTGCATACGTAAAAATAAATCATTCAGTTTAATTATGTATTATTTCACGTGCTTCAGCAATTTAAGCCGATACACAAAACTATTAAACAATAATACTCAACGTATTATAATGACAGTTGATAAAGAAATTTAACTTATTCTTAATGTTATGTGGTACTTTATTTCAAGTTTTATAATAATTCGAACGGTAAGCTCAATTTGCGAAAAGAGGTTAATGGAAACTTAAAAGTTAAGCCTATTAAAATAGTTACCATGAACGTGCATAACCTCTTACTAAATTTCATTTTATATGGTAAATTGATAAAGTGCATCTTCTGTAAAGTTCCATGTATGTAACTATCAAACGTAAACTCTAATATAAATAACGCTAAGGAGAGCTTGTTGCGACATCTGTTGGCAAGTGGCCGCATTAAAAAAGTAACATTTCTCCCAGTGGGATTTTGGAAGTTACATAATAGGTATGTATTGTATTACATATATTATATTTATATGCCTAAAATTTAACATAATTTGTACTAAATATGTATAACGATACATATACATATGTATATTTATAACAATGATGAAAATGATATTCAGTCGAAGTTATGAGTGGGTATGGGTTTCATTTTTCAGCAATATTTGGATATTTTTACAAATTTTCTTTTGCCGATTTGGAAGAAAATAAGAGCAAAAATGAAATTAAATGTAAACTCTTTATTTTTTATTTTTTTACTTCCGGGGGTATCCTTTTTGACATTTTAAGTCAAACCATTGCGGCCAGCACTAGCACTACCATTCTAATGAAGGTTAATAATTTTTCGCTCACCAGATGTCGCTAGTTGACACTGAGGTAAACTGTTTTTTACACAATGTCATTTAATTGAGAAGTTAGCTTTAAAATAATAGTTTAAAAATAATCAGTTTCTAGGGTGTTATATTAATACACAACACAATGCGTCAGTGATTTTTTTTTGTGCTTTATACCTCTTTTTGAATTTTTTTACTTTTAGGTATATTTATAATGTGTTTTATTTATTTTTAATATAATTAATATAAAATATAACTAACAATATAGAAAGAAACATTAAGCTTTACATTTTTCTAAAAAATATCTTCCCGGCTATAAAATCTGTCAAATGATTTACCTCATTGTAAAGTGGCGCCGCCCTGGTGACTGAGAAAGTGGATGCAGATTTTTATTTCGCATTTACTTAGTTTTCAGTAAAAAAAAAATCAAAAACTTCGACAATTTCATTCTTCATTCTTTGACGGCTCCGTGGCGCAGTGGCTTAGCAATGAGTTGCTGCGCTGGGGGGCGCAGGTTCGAACCCCGCACGGAACAAGTATTTGTATGGCCTACAAATAATTGTTCTGGGTCTGGATGTTTGTCCTTGTGAAATTTGTGTTTTTAAACTGCCTGCACGATACAGGAGAAAATCCTAGTGTGGGGGTAACGTTTTTTAAAAAAAAGTATTAACTTTGGAAATACTTAATGTAAAGTGATTGATAGAATAAAAAAGCAGATATGTATGGATTTTGACTGCTTTTTGACATCTGCAATCAGATTCCCAGTTCGAGGCCTACATACATAGATACATACATAGTCACCAATTCTGCCGTCATAAATAAAAAGGGTGCATATAACAATTTTTGAAAAAATGAGTTAAATATACCATTCGACTCAAGATAAAAAGACGCATCTACTCAATTTATTAATATTCAGAAATATCTATATATTTTAGAAAATATCGTAAGAGGTTTAGACGTAACTGTTGATTAAAAATGACATTTTTTAGTAGAAAAGACGTATTCAAATTCAACATAAAAGAAAAGACTTATTTAACCAGTTAATATTTGCATCGATTTCTTTGATGAAAAGACGTAAATTAATAGTTTTAAAATGAAAAGACGCTTTTGGTTTCTTACGTCCAATCATCTTGGT